CGGTGTCGAATTCGCCAGAGTGCTTCTGGCAGAAGTCCAGCACCAGCCGATGGAGGAGCTGGGTTGTCCGGACGATTGGGGCAGTGCACGCATGCGGGCACACGAGCATACACACACACACACACACAAGTGGGGTCAGCAAGAAGAAAAAAAAGTAAAAGGAGGAGGCTCAATCGGCCGGAAGGGGCGACACCAAGCCCGCACCTTCGTCAGGCCAGCCAGGTTGTTGCTGGATGACATGTAGGCCGTCTGCGACAGGGAGAGGCACAGCTGCGACAGATTGACCTGCTCCTGCGCGACCGACGACAGGACATCGAAAATGTTGATGATGCTGCTGAAGCTCGGGACCTGGGAGAAGATGCCACAGCTGGGCTCCGCCTCGAATGGGCTCAGCTGCGCGCGCGCGCGCGTGTGCGTGTGTGTGTGTGTGTGTGTGTGAGAGAGAGGGGGGGGGCGCGCGAGAAAGAGCGAGGTATGAGCGATCTTGGCATGTGGGGCGAATGGCCAAAGCGCGCACCAGAGCCGACAGAACCGAGTGCGGATCGCTGGCGGTCGTCGACTGCGAGGGGCAGCCGGAGCCGGTGAGGGTGTTGGAGACACTGTTGGGCCGGGCCGGTGGGGCTGAGGGGGTCGGCGTGCCGGGGCCGCTGGAGGACATGGCGCGAGCCGGCCCCAGCCCCGAAGGGGCCAGCAGGCTGAGCGGCGGCAGGGACACCGGCGACATGAGGTCCTCCTCAGCGATGCCGGCTCCGCGACCGGGCCCACCAACTTCCGGCGGAGGCGTGGTGCAGCCAGACCCCGGGCCACCGGCCAAGTCGAGCGTCGCCGGCCGGGGAGGCAGGCGGGTGGCAGCCCCGGCCCCGGGGCCCGCCGCCGGGGGAGCGACGGACACCATGGGCTTCAGGGCGGGCATGGGCGATCCCGCGGCCGAAAAGGATGTCCCGGTGATGGGGCTGGCGCGGCCGGGCTTCGGAGGGGGCACCGGCGGCGTGGTCGAGCGAACCGGCGAATCGCCGAAGATGCCCCCCGACGGGGAGGCCGACAGCACGCTCAGGTGCGGGGAATTGGCCGCACTGCTGGCGGCGCTGCTGCCAGTGCTGCCGGCCGGCGAGGAGCCGGCCCCGCGCAGAGTGGCCATCAGCCCCGGCATCTTGGGCGAGGTGCCGAGAATGCCGGCACCCGGAGCCCCGCGCAGGGGAACCAACCGCCCCGGGCCACCGAAGCAGGCACACTTGGCCCGGAAAGAGAAGGTCGGGCCCGGGTCCAGCAAGGTACGCGTCGAGTCCGACAGCGGGCCGACCATCTGCATGCACCGGACAAACTGCTCCCGGTGTGCCAGGAAAGCCCGGCAGGCGGACCGGTGCGACTCCACTGTGGCCGGATGCACCAGCGCCCGGCAGTGGGGGTGGCCACACCCGCCGCCGGTGGAGCGGCCGCCGGTCGACAGGTGCGGCGTGGCCGGCAGAGGCCGGGCCCCGGCTGTGAAGGACCCGCGCCGGGGCCCGGCCCCGGGCGACCACGAGTCCTCGGTCGTGCTCGCCCGGGCCGGCGAGGAGGCCCCCCCGTCAAAGCGGGCATCCCAGCCGAGCATGTCGTCCAGCAGCAGCCCGGCCACCGGGCCGGTGGCGGGGGCGGCCGAGTGCGATGCCCGGCGCTGGCCCCCGGCCCCCGGCCCCGGGCCCAGGTCCCCGGACTCGCTGGTCAGCAGCAACGAGTCGCAAGCCTGGAAGAAGGGCGAATCGCTGTCGGTTGAGGACAGCAGGCTGGGCGGGCTCCCGCCATCGGGGTAGTGGCCCCCGCCGGGGGCCGTCGAGTGGGATGTGCCCGCCGGGGCCAGGCTGCCGGATCGCCCACGGCGCGGAGGCACATACTGCTCGCCAATCGGACAGGCACAGAGGCTCGGCACATGGTGAGAGCCGGCGCCCAGGAGAGACCCCCTGCGCGGGGGGGTCTGACCGTCGTCCGCGGCGCCGGCCATCTCGGCACCCACGGACTCGACATCGCCGCTGGCCAGGTCGCCGCCGGGGCCGCTGCCAGATCCGGCGCCATTGCCAGGGCTGCCGGTGAAGGACCGCATGGTCCCCGAGTGGAAGGGCAGCTGCATGTGAAGAAGCTGTGAGCCGCTGCTGGAGGAAACACTGCCCGGGGCGCTGCCGGCCCCGGGGCCGGCCATGTAGCAGGAGGACGACGAGGAGCAGGAGTCGCCGGAGTCGCTTTCGCCGTCGGACAAATCGCCCCCGGTTCCATAGAGCCCCGGGTTGGCCCGGTGGCGGATGGCCTGCTGGCGCTGGGCCTGGCTGGCCAGGCGCGAGGCCAGGGCCTGCTGCGCCGGGTCGATGGCCATCGCCGCCGGGGGCGGATGCATGGGGGTCTGGTCGTCTCCCAGCGAGGAGGCCGCGGTGGTGGAGCGCGAGCGTGGCCGAATGGAAAAGGTTCGCTTGCCGGACGAGGAGGAGGCGGAAGAGGAGGAGGAGGAGGAGGAGGAGGAGGAGGAGGAGGGGGCCGCCAGCGAAGTGAGCGACCCGGTGGAGGCGGAGGCCGCATACCCGGCCGATACGGCCTGGGCCACGGGGGTCGAGTCGCCGAAGAGGCTGCCCGAGCGAGCCCGGCTGGAGGTGCCCTTGGTCTGGGGCGAGGGCGAGAGCGTGTGAGCGGGGCGAGGCGACCGGGTCATGCGAAGGGCACACACATGGGGATATGGGGTGCAAGTGTGTGCGCGCGCGCGCGCGCAATGGAATGAGAGCATCAATGGCGGTAGGGCACAGCCGGGCGCACCGACGCGATAACGGGGGCGGCCGGCTCGGCCGGCGAGGAGGTATGCGTAATGGCCGGCAGCAGGGACGAGGTGACCGGGCTGCCCTCAGACTGGGAGGAAGCGCGCTTGCGCCGGGACAGAAGACCCGACAAGCGCGAGGAGGACCCGGAGGAGACGGTCGACGTTGGCACCGGCAGGGGCGACGTGCTGCCGGGCTGGCCGGGTGGCAGGTTGACGCCGCGACTGGAGCCGGCCCCAGCCGAGGAGGGGGCCGTCAGGTCGGTCAGACTCATGGATGGGCCGGGAGCACCGCCAGGCCCGAGGGCCAACGGGGGGGCTGTGCTCCGGACCGGGGAAAAGTCCGACGGGGGGTGTGCCATGGTGGGCGAGCAGCCGGACGAGGAATACCGCTGCCCCGAGGGGGGCGGGGTCGAGGGCATGACCAGGCGCAGCGAGGGCAGCGTGGCCGCGCGGGTGGGCTGATCGGAGGTCATCTACGGGCGGGCGATGTGGCAGTTGGTGCTTGGTGCTTGCTGCCTGCTGGTGTGGGATGGGGTGGGGTGGGTGGGGGGGGGGGGAGGGGG